CCTGTATATATATATATATATATATAAATATAAAATAAAGATATACAAATTTGCAAAAACAATAATGGTGTACTACCACAGTTCACTCTTGTGTTACAATGGAACAAAGACAACTAAATACACTGAAAAGCGACAACACTACACTAGTTCACACTAGTATCAGTGTTGCTGAGTCATTGTCTCGCTGAAGTGACACAAAGCGCAACTCACGAACCTATGGCACAAAGCGTGCTATTTTCAAACTCTCACAAATTATTTTCAATATTTTGCATTAAAATCTCGCGACCCCAAGATTTTTCTAAGCGACCCCAAATGGGGTCGCGACCCATAGTTTAAGAAGCCCTGCACTATGAAATAAAAAATATCGAAGATAGTGGGACTAGAAAGTCCCATCAGGCAATAAAAGGATAAGCTGATAACTGTCAGACACTCTTTTATTGCATTATTATATACCTTTGTTAAATATCGTCTAGGTTATACTTAATGATTTACATAAGCTTATAATCGATTAGAACAAAGTATAATCTTATTACAAAAATTTTAATTCATCTCTCATAACCTGTTATTAATTATGCAAAATAATAAATAGGTGTTATTACTTTATCCAGGAATAGAATTTGAATGATATTTATTTTAGAGCATTGACAAGAATAGGATATTACATTTGCAATGAAAAAAAGTACTGTATATGAAAATATAGTTCAATAATTTTACTGTCTAAATTATCACAGCTCAAAGAATTATGCCATTAATTAAAATATAGATTATATTAAAAGAACAGAACTCTTAAATATACAAGTAAAAATTAAAAGGTAACAAAAGTAATATTTCAAACAGTAATTAAAAGTTTTTAACTACAGCAAAGCATCGATTATCCGAAAGTCAATTATCCGAAAGAATTCCAGTTGGCGAATTTAAATTTTCGCTAGTGCTGTGGCCCTGCAATCTTTGGCTATGTCTTGGGCTACTCAAATATTTTACGTTTTTGATACTAAATTAACTTCTGAAGTATAATTTTTTATTGTTTTTATATTTTTTAATATATTTATTTTTTGTTTGTACAAAATAAAAAAATAATTTTTAACGATACAATAGTCTTCGTTAGGCTTAACATCGACGANGCAAGCAAGAGTTCAGTGGGAGCCGAATTGTAGGTTTTGCAAAATGCATGGGAGCCGCAGTTCTATACTATTTTATTCTGTACCGCAGTTCTGTACCGCGATTTTATGATATAATGTTAATATAATATAAAACAAATATTGAATTTTTTTAATAAACATATTTTCACAAAATTATGAAAATAAAATTGTAAAAAAAAATAATAAAAAGCAGAAATGAACACTTTCAGCAAGAGCTGCATGTAACTCAAAAAGAGCCGCATTTGCCCATGTCTGTATTATATTATATTTACAATTTTCGTAATTTATGTAAAATTTTAGTTATTTCAAAGTCATTTATTAAAATCATTAAAATGAAGCAAGAATGCCAAATTTATATTTGCTAAACAATTATCTATTTTTTTTATATTATTTATAAATACAGTCGACCCCCTATAACCCTGTTGATTTTTCCGTTTTATATAAATTCTATGTTGTACGAGTCACTTAGATTTTACAAATACATGTGCTAAACTGTAAACGGCTCACGTATTTGTAAAATCTAAGTGACTCGTACAGCATGGAATTCATATAAAACGAAATTATCAACAGTGTTATAGGGGGGTCGACTGTAATATATATTAAATTTACTTCATATTTGTTAATGTTGATTATAAATATTAATATGGAGTAAAAAGCTTAATAATGAAAATTTTACAACGAATTTTCCAGTGATTGATTCTTTCGGGAAACCATTTGGAATAATTAGAGGAAAATTTTGGTTACACGGAGATTACGATCAATGCTTGAATATTGAAGCTATAGAGGATAAGACCAGAAAAAATGAAGAAAAATTAAACACTATATATGGAAAATTTTGTGCATTAACTATTGGATTTAATTCATATGAATTCAGTGATGTGCCAGTAGATAACAATACTAAAAATATACTTAACATGATGAAAGATTTTGTTGTAAGTATTTATATAAAAATTTACGATTATAAAAGCAATCTTCTATAAATTTCACATTTACAGAAACCGTTTCCATTGAGAAAATTATTTGAAATGGCCAATTACTCCAAAGTAATATTTCGTGTTGATATTTGTATACCGAGCACGTGTAGTCAAGAAGATATAGAAAATATTCTTCACTGGGGTAAGTTAATAATAATATTTTACTTTTTATAATAGACAGCGCAGTTGCGAGAAAATACAAACAATTATAGTCAATGCCCTTTGATAGCAAGCGCGCTTCTAAGGCAAGGTAAAGTTTAACATATACTGAAAAATTGTACATTGTGTTCAATGGTGACATTGTTATTGTAGGTGTTATTCGAATGTTGACATTATGTGTGTGTGAGTGTTTTGGCTTTTGCATTTTTTCTTTTTCTTCTTTTGTAAAAGTTGGCAGTTAATAAGGCACCCTCTTTCTGCTCGAAGAGCACTAAGAGAGTAACAAGAGAGTGTATAGTGTAAACTTGTCACAGAGAAAGCTCGTATAGTTATCAATAATTTATACCATTTCAGTTTATAATTTTACTGGTTCTGTTATATTTGTGATTAATGTGTGATGAAAACAATTATTGTGTACAGGCACAATGAAGTGACGTTTTTCTCAACACTGGGCTAGTTGAATCTTTTATTTAGTTAGAACGTTTTTTCCATACATCAACGTTTCGGGCATCAGCCCCTCTTCAGCTAACTAAATATATATAAAAATATTTAACAGGACACAAATAAAAACCAAAAAACTCACATAAATTCTTTGTAAACCATACCTCA